CCCCAAAACCCCAAAACCCCAAAACCCCAAAACCCCAAAACCCCAAAACCCCTTATTTTTAAACTTTAATTGAAGCTTATAAATATTTTTATTTCAAATGGATCGAGATTCAGCAAACGAAGCCAATGATGGCCGGTATCTTTGCATTGAGTGATGCCAGTCGTGCAGCCAACATAGTTGGAACACTAGGCATGATGAAGCTAAGTATATGAGCTTTTATAACACAATTGCTGAAGGGGTCACAGCCGAGGAGCCTAGCGTGAGTGTTTTGAGAAATCAGATCCCTAAAGAATTCGTTGACTTTGATTTATATTACAATCTTATTCCTAATAATGATGGTAGGAGTAATTTTTATGATCAATTGCCTAGAGTCGGAGCATTTGAAGTATCTTATAAAGGAAAATTAATCTTTTCTAAATTACTCAGCCTTCGATGGCCAAATATAAATAAGGTTGTAAATAAATGACTTGGAATGATCAATGCCGTTGATAATGGAGAAGACCCTTCTGAGTTCTTCGCTGATCCTATTAAGAAAAATACTAAGAAACTTGCAGGGAAGAATGCTCCAAATAGAATTAAATCTACACAGAATACTATATCAGCTACTAAAGAGAAAACTCGCTTTGTTGGGCGAAGTGAGCATAATAAAAGTGTTGGAAATAAAACAAATTCTCCCTTGAAAAAGAGTTCTAAAGCACCAAAATCTCCTAAACAAAAATCAAAGAAGCCATCTCAGAAGCAAATTGAGGAAGAGAAAAGTTTGAGCATCCAGGAGCTTCATGAGGAAAAAGAGTCTTCTCCTCAAGCACGAGTTGTTGAAGAAGTAAAAGAAGATTCTCCAAAAGCACAGAATATCTCAAAGCAAGATTCTGACAAAGAAGATAAAGAGAGTGACAAGCCTTCGCTTAGAGAGCTACCAGACCAGTCAGTTTCAGTCAAGGAAGACCCTCCAAAATCAACATCTAAAAATCAGGAGCTCCCTCAAGATAATAAATTGTTAATAAAAGACAATAAGAGCTCAGAGAAGGAAGATTCAGATCACAAATCTGAATCTGAGAAGAAGGATTCTGAGCCTGAATCAGTAAGTCAATTAAAGCAAGAAAAGGCGACTGATAAGGACTCTTCCAAGCATTCCTCACCAAGAGATCATCCTATAGAAGCTGAGAAAACCCATAAGGATGATAGCTTAGATAGCAAGGACGAAGAAGTCAAAGGAAAAACTCAAAATGATAAGATCGATGTAGAACCAAAGAAAGAGACAATCAACTCAGAGATTGAAAATTCTGATACAAAGCCTAATAAATCAATAGAGAATAAGGAGATCGATAAAGATAAAGAGAGCAATAAGTCTAGTGATAAAGAGAAACAGCCTGAAGTCATTAATAAAGACTCTTCTAAAAAGAAAGATGTCGCAGAAGACTCTCAGCCTCAAAGTGAAGAGCCTAAGCAGCCTACTAAAGAGGAAGAAAAGGCTGATCCAAAGCAGCCAACTAAAGAGGAAGAAAAGGCTGATCCAAAGCTAGATTCTGATCATGGTAAAGGTGGTGACAAGCAGAAATCCAACAGTTCTCATGAAAAAGAAGAAATTAAAGCTACAATTACAAAGGAAGATCCAGCTTCAGAGAATAAAGCAGAAGAGAAAGTTTCTGATAATTCTGACAAGAAGGACCTAAGTGATCATGAAGAAGACAATAAGAAGGAAGCTCAGCCTAAAGTTCAAGAGCAGAAAGAGCCTTCTAAACAAGACAAACCCCAAGATAAACCCCAAGAAAAGTTAGAGAAAAAGCCAGAGGCTCAGAATGAGCAGTCCAATAAAGAGGAAAATAAAACTACAGAGCCTAAGCCTTCCACAATAATTGAGTCTAAACATGATGACCAGAAGAGTAGCTCAAGCAATGATGGGAAGGAAATGGAGAAGCCAAAGTCTGATACTGTGCCTAAAGATGATGCTCCCAAAGACAGCTCAGATGATGAGAAGGATCATGCTAAATAATCCCCAAGAGTCTCTTCGCAAGCTTGAGAATCTTCAGCCTTAAACTAGAAGTTTGAGCTGGGCAGGATCTGACCGGCCAGGTTTTGGTAAGAGATATCAAGACTTAGTGGAGAAAATAAAATAATCTAACTTCAATAGTGAGGTTTGAAATTGGGGTTTTGGGGTTTTGGGGTTTTGGGGTTTTGGGGTTTTGGGG